TTGCCCTATATTTCAAAAAATAAATTATAAAAGCCATGCTATCGATAATCTCTCAAGAAATGCTAATCTTTTAAGTGAAATTCTCAACTCTTTAGTTAGCCAAGGAGTTGCAGTATTATTTTTTGGGCAAACGGTTTTCTTAATGAGAGGAAAAGCTTGATTGAAGTTGAATAAAAATGTAGAAATAAAGTTGTCGAACATTGTATATGAGTCTTCGGACTTGTTAAATAAGGTCCATGATTTCTTTTCCAAAAGACATTTGAAAATCAATTTATTTGATTCAAAGTTGGTCAATGACAAAGTTTCCGGAACCAGCAGCAAGCGATCTTTAGTCAAGGCCAAGGAAATTCTTAATTAAAAAAAGTAGTATCTAAATACGGAGTCAACATAAATATTTAGAAAGATTGGAAAAAAGAACTGATGAAGGGTCTGGGCGTGTTTCCATAAAGAATTGGCCCCACCCTGGTATTTAAATAATTTTGATGCCATTTTATAGGTATTTTTGAGAAAATTCGAAATACCAAATTTCAAATCCGTAACTCATCATTTGGCCGAGATATCAGTGAAAACATGTGAAAGTGGTCCCTTTCGGTCGGAAATATGAGAGATATCGAAAAAATGTTAACGTCATTCTATTTATACTGATCTTTGTCTATGTTGTTCATAACAAATAATGAGAAAAAAAATATTTTCTCATTATATGTATACAATAGTGCGTGAAAAGGTGAAAATGATTTTTCATTTTCCATTTTCTACCAGTGCGGCTCTTAAGCTTCTGACTAATATATTTCAATGTATGAAAAACTTAAGCGTTCAATATTTTTCATATATTTACGTCGGCAATAACAAGTATTTTAATTTTAATTTATTACCTTTTTTGATTTTTTGCAATGTTATTATATTTTATATAGTTATCATTAACTAAAAAATCGATAAAAATATATGTCAGAATACATTTCATAGCTATTCAACGCAAGTATGTAAGTATTAAAAATATATTAAGTATTAAAAGTATATTACAAAAAATATATCTCTGTTTAAATTATAATTATTATGGCTATCTAAATGACAACTATTATTTTTTCAGCGAATAGTAAAAACAATTATAATTATTTTTTCTATGTAACTACTATACAATTCTGCATCATCTACAGTTTTCACAATTTAATTCCCTTTCTATGTATATTGTAATACTTGCAATTTTTCGATATTATGATAAAAATGTCACTAAAATGTGAAATTATTGCAATTTTAGTGAAGTCATAAATGGTGCACAGAAAAGACAATATATTTTTTGCAAAACTAATATCGATTCAAAAAATAATAATTACTATTTTACCTATTCTCCATGGAAAAACCACAATTATAATTTGTGAAATTCTATGTGTAAACAAATTGCTCACAGAGATATATTTTTCAATATACTTTTAATATATGAAAAATAATGAAATCTCAACTTTTTCATACATTGAAATATATTAGTCAGAAGCTTATACGGCGAATGAAAATAATCAATAATAATAATTATTGTTTTATTCGGCGCGTTGAATTTTTATTATGACTAATGAATATGCTTATTTACAAGATATAAATAAATTTTGGTTTTTAATAAATATTTCCATACTTATATGCATAATTTGTCGAGGCGCGCGATAACGACGAGCCTTATGCTTGCAAAGCGACTTTATATGGGTGTTCTTGTACCGGCAGCGCGTGTACTAGCTTAAGTTTTTCCAACATTTCACCCAAATTTCCACTTACATTTGAATGGATTTTTGAATAACAGAAGAAAAATGTACAGGCTTTCAAATGATGCTAATATAAAAGTAGTCCAAAGACGAAAATGAAAATGAAAAATAATTTTCACCTTTTCACGCACTAACAAATAATTGTTATGAACAACATAGACAAGATCAGTACAAATAGAATGACGTTAACAGTTTTTCGATATCTCTCATATTTCCGACAAAAAGTGAGTTTAAAAAAAGGGGCCACTTTCACATGTTTTCACTGATATCTCGGCCAAATGATGAGCTACGGATTTGAAATTTGGTATTTCGAATTTTCTCGAAAATACCTATAAAATGGCATCAAAATTATTTAAATACCAGGGTGGGGCCAATTCTGTATGGAAACACGCCCATACCCTTTACGAACTTAAGAAATTCTATTGATCTTCCGCAAATAACTTTAGGACAAAAATATTTAGCAGGTTTTGGAAACGACAGAAGAGTAGTAACTTCTACAAATGACTCCACTTCTATCATTACAAAAAACCTAATAATTGACATATATCCAATCTTTTCCCTCCTGGTACCTGGACATCTCCGTGGGCGTCGGTGCAGGACCTCCAGGCATCACCATCATCAGAATATTGCACTGCGTACTCCCACACATACTCCCTGCTTCCTGGTCTTCCTGCAGTTGCAACCGCCCTGACCTCCATTCTTGCTCCGAGGTCAACCCAGAGGAAATTGTTATATGTACTGTCCTGGGGCGACCAGGCATTGGATCCTGGTGTTATAGGATGACAAAAAAAAATGTTGGATGGAGATTAAGGAAAAAGGAAAATTAGGTTGGAATAAAAATATAGAAAGAATAAATTGATGAAACCAAAGTAAAATGTATTTTCAATCCAGGATCAAGTTTCCATCAGTTCCACGATGATTTCGTCATTCCGTTTCCATTTTAGTATTTTTGGAGCAGCAAATAAAATTGGGAAGAGAAAAAATTATGATGTGTTAGTATATGTGAAATATGAAATATGAAATATTAATAGACAGATACAAATAGATATGGATATAAAGTCTAAAAAGCACTACTGAATGATGGGTTGGTTAAAAATAGACATACCGAACTACGACACACTCACTCAAAATTAAAACACAAACTTAAAATATATATATATATATATATATATATATATATATATATTAATTTGGAAATATGAGCAAACAACACTTTTTTGCACTAATTTATAAAATAATAATTTTCACAAACGTTTCGAGACTAGGTTTGTCTCATCATCAGTGTGTTATAATTTAAAATTTAAAATATGGAAACCTAAATTAGCATTATGTGTTATTCGTTACAAGTCGTTCGATATACTGTATATACTCATTCGATATAATGTATATACTAATTCAATATACTCATGTATGTATATCGAACGACTTGTAACGGATAACACATAATGCTAATTTAGATTTCCATATTTTAAATTTAAAATTATAACACACTGATGATGAGACAAACCTAGTCTCGAAACATTTGTGAAAATTATTATTTAATAAATTAATGCAAAAAAGAGTGTTGTTTGCTCATATTTCCAAATTAATATCTATTATCCACTCAGAATACATTTGTTATATATATATATATATATATATATATATATATATGTATATGTATATATATATATATATATATATACAATAAATAAATCATAAATAATGTGACCTAGTCTAGTCTAGTGCTCGACTAGCAGATACAGGCGGGGGTACTCGGATCGAATCCTGGTCGAGTACTGCATGTAGCAATGAATCGAATGAAGCAAGAATAAACTAGTGGTGTATGGCATCGTGCCATAAGGCAAATTGCTGAAAATTCCCGTACCGTAATGAAATATTCGACAAATTTTAAACGCTTTCAAATATATTATTACAAATACTGTAACTTTCATTATTTTTGCTCTCTTGTTATATCTGAGCAAATCAAATGTAAATTATAAATAAATCAATTTATCTCCAGAACATTAACAATCGTCATTTCAATTCGAATTCAATTTCAAAAAAAAAATAGTTGCCTAATTTGCACAAAATTGAAAAAGTGCTCCACAGTCTAAACGCATTTGCAAATAATTCTGTGCGACATTTTCACTTATACTGTGCTTAGCTTGGCGGCATTTTCACATTTTTCAATAGTTTTCACAAAATTCGAATTGGAAAAGTGATCCATTACATAAACAGTCTAAACGCACTCGGGTGAACATTTGTACCAGAGTGGCGCTTAGACTGTGCTTAGCCTGGGTAATTTTTTGAATTTCTTAATCAAAAAATTACAAAAATTTTATTGAAAATAAAAAAAGATGTGATAATTTTTTATCCTCATTGTTTTGTCAATACAAGCAGAAAGTTTTTTGAATCATTCAAACACTGCCATTTTTTGCACATTTAGCTCTGTATCTTCAAAATGGCGGGACCTGCCTTTGCCAAAAACTAATCAGCACATCTCCCTATCAATAGGGATCGAATGTTTTTTAACCATTCAAATCGGTTGAATAAACGTGGACTAAAAATGCGAGCATACAAAACACACACACATACACATACACACACATCCATTTTTTCTGAAGTATGCCAAAATGTTCAGAAACCTTCAAAACTTTGAGAAATGCAAAAATTTTCAATTTAGATTTTTAGATGATTACTATAACTACCCTATGGAAAGTCAATAATAGTATTAATAGAATCTAAAAGAAAATTTAGAAGTCAGAACTTTTTTTTATTAACTTCCCGTAGGGTAAGTTATAGTAATCGCAAAAAAATCGAAGATGAAAATTTTTATGTATCTTTACGTTTCAAAACCTTCTGAACATTTAGGCATACCTAAGAAAAAATGGATGTATGTGTGTGTGTGTGTGCGGATACAAATTTTCGTCGACTATTTCTTCAAAATTAAATAAATTTTTCTTCAAAAACGTTTATTTTTCAAAAAAAAAGTAAACTTTTGTCAAAAATTTATAGTTTCTCAAAAATCTATTATAATTTTTTCAGAGTAAATGTTTTTCAAAAATGTTAATCTTTTCAAAAAAAATTTTTTTTGGCACGAGAAGTACCAGCAATTTGCCTTAAAGCACCATGCCATGCGCCCCACTAGTTAAATTCTATTTCAAAACGTCCTATCCCTCCACAGTCGTATATCTTTTACACGATTTTTTTAAATCATATTACTATTTTTTATATCATTATTCTATTCCTATTTCCTTTATCCATTTCTACCTTCGTATAGCCTCCTGGTTCCTTATAATCAGCGTAGTCCAATCCATTATGTCCGTAACTGATTGCAAATTCGGTAACGAATTCAGTACTATGAGCCCTTCCCTGGATGGCAATCCTGGTCACATTCATTATCTGGCCAAGATCGATGATCAGCCTCTGGTCGAAATCGGAATTTCTGGCCGTCCAGGCATTTCCTCCTGGATAATGGTCAAAATACCATTATATAGTATTAATAGTTTTGGTTAGTTGAGGATTTTCCAACTCCTGGTGATGGTTAGTATGGAGGATATCGATGCAATATGTTAGGATAGATTTCTTGTGATTTGGGTGATTTTTTTAGTTAGTCCAGGACTTTGGATATTATTTATTTATGTTATCTTCAATCTGTTACATAAATTTGTTTATTTTCTTGGTTAGTTAAATCCATTCCCTCGTTAGTATCTAAATTATTTATATTAAAATAACATCTACTGTATGCTTGTTAAAAGAGACAATTAGGTGCTGTTTTCTTCAGTGATTTTTTTGAGTTAGTCCACGACATTGAATATTATTTCTAAATGTTATCTTCAATCTGTTACATAAATTTGGTTATTTTCATGGTTAGTTAAATCCATTCCCTCGTTAGTATCTAAATTATTTATATTAAAATAACATCTACTGTATGCTTGTTAAAAGAGACAATTAGGTGCTGTTTTCTTCAGTGATTTTTTTGAGTTAGTCCACGACATTGAATATTATTTCTAAATGTTATCTTCAATCTGTTACATAAATTTGGTTATTTTCATGGTTAGTTAAATCCATTCCCTCGTTAGTATCTAAATTATTTATATTAAAATAACATCTACTGTATGCTTGTTAAAAGAGACAATTATTAGGTGCTGTTTTCTTCAGTGCTCTTTTATTAATTTAGGATTAGTTGACATCATTCATCTATTTTCCAACCAAACCATTACAACCTGATGGTCTAAATTTTTATATATATTTAGGTATTGTTAATTTGATACCATCCTAAAAATTGACATATATTTCGATCACCAGTAAAGTAACTACTACAATAATTAAGGTTTCACATACTTATCCAATAATTATGGTAAGTATGATGGTTTTACTAATGGGTTTCACAGAATTACTTCTAGAATAAAATCTAGAACATATTTAATCGAAAACTAATTTTTAAACTTGGCCTCATATCAAAAGTGTATCAATGTTCACATAGTGCTGAAATCTTACCAAAATCAGTCAATTTTCATCACGCAGAATATTTAAAAAATTATACTATTCGAATAAATCAGTACAAATATCCCCTCTAATTTTATCAATGAAAGTTTGTAATAGTTGACACAAATCGTAATTTACTATTGTATATATATATATATATATATATATATATATATATATATATATAATATATATATATATATATATATATACATATATAAAGAATTCTTAATAAGATTTAAGGGTGTTGTCACCCATATGTTTAATCCTATTAGTAAAGGCTGTCAGAAACAATCCGTGAAACTAGGGGATCCTAAATCAAATCCTAACCATATTATACATATATATATATATATATATATATATATATATATATATATATATATTGAAATGTCAGTATCCAGTAAGTCTAGAATAAAATACATTGAGTAATGGAAGATTTTCTGTCTAGTTTTAAAATTAAATTAATTTTTCGTGACATCATCATAACATAAATTTGAAACTAAAGTCAGTCTCATGTGATGTTATTAAATACACAAACTAGATTTAGCTAAAATCAGCATAATTCCCAAATGACCCTTTAAAATTTTATCAAATCATTCAGGATCACATCAGATCTTTAATAAATTTATCAGATCTCCGAAAAGTCTACCGAACCCTTGAGAATTTCACCAGATTTTTGTACCTTGTGGCACATTCTTAAAAATCTTAACTAATCAGCCTCTGGTCGATAATACAGTAACAAAAAAAATTCAAATTCAAGCTAACTATTTTTAAAAGTCAGGTCAACCCCGGAAAAAACAACGTAATTCGGCACCAAGGAAGCAACGTTAAAAACTAGGACTGTCTTAGTTAGATCTAAGAAGCGTTTTTTGTTAAATGTTTTACCAATACTATACTAAATTACATTAAAATCACCAAAATTTGTTTTTGTTGAATCTTTTGCCAATATTATACTACGTCACATTCAAATCACCAAAATTTTCAAATTGCCCCCCTGAATTTACAAATTGCCCTCCAATGCGCTCCACGTTGGAAATCACTGATGTGGATATTACATTTTTCTTATTCATAATCATAAATATATTATATTTTAATATTGCCTTAGCCTATTAGTGAATATAAATGTTTGGCAAATGACAGTCTTCATTTGTTTTTAATGTCAAACTATGCCTCAAATATTTTCAAGGCGAAACAATTATAGACGGTTTTTTGTAATTTTTTCCATTTATTTCTACAATCTAACTATATTTCTATAAATCAAAAAATCCTAAAAAATTCCCTTAACAAACTTTAGAAAGATTTATCAAAATCTGAGTAATCGTTCAGAAGGATGATGCTTTCATACACCATTACAGAAGAATTCTAAGTAATCTAGTTTATACTCTAGCAGATCGATAAAATTTTTATCATATTCTCAAAACTTTCGTAAATCTTTCTTCAAATCTTACTAGATTGTGGAAATTGTCAGCAGGATGTTATCTAATTCTTAGAACAAAAGGCCAATTAATTGCTTTCCAGCAAAAATTAGGAATTCATTGAATATCATATTTGGCAAGTTTCAAGACAATTCATACCCTCAGTTCAGCCAATTCTAAAAATGTGTTGACATACTTTTCTATTCTTAGACAAACCTACCATTCTGACTAAATCCATACCCTGTCCCATTTCTTGTTATGTCTTTATATTTCTTCAAAACTTTTGCTAAATTACTATAACGATGTTACGGAACTCTTCGTCGGTTCGATTGCATTCCCCCGGATTGCATGTTTTATATCATTTTATTACTGTATCATTCATTTGGGTGCCCGCGATGTCTCCGATGGAGCCCCGAGGCGGCGCCCCCCAATCTTTGGCGATAAACACTTGATCGGAAAAGTTACTCCGGGAAAATAAAAATTGTGAAAATGAAGCTCGGGGGAAATGAAAATCTAATAGTTACTTTTATTAGAAATTTAAAAAATTAAGTCAAATGATGTTGGGTTTATAAAATACATTTTTGAAACTGTTCAAGAGGGTACTACTATGTGCCTGAGATAATGTTTGCAAATGTGGCCCCATTTGATTTTATTGACACTGGTCTAGACTGTACATTTCATAACAACTAGTATCAATAAACTATTTGTTTGTGAGTGAGTTTGAAAAATTAATTTCTAGTTTCCAAGATAATTTTTCTATTTAGAATTCGTTTTGTATTGTAAGATTTCGTATCAAGTTTTAAAATAAAATATAAATTTTTTAAAAATTAGGAGCAATATGCTAAAAAATGTACTAAATCCTTTAGGCTTATTTGGACCTTTGATAAAAGCCTTTAGAATATTTTGTTTAATCAATTTATAAGAATTTTGTATTTTTTCCTTCAATGCTCTAAAAAGTTTTTTACGAGTGCATCGAGCATTTGACCCCGCATGATCCGAGTTCATTTAGTAGATTATACTTATACATTTATATATATATATATATATATATATATATATATATATTATAAAAGAAGATACGGAACTTTACTACTATCAAAAATAACTGCAGGTTGACATGCAATCTGTAAAACTCGTACTGGAAAATCATATCTGATTTGACAAATAATTTTTGACATAGATTAACTTCTTTAATTATAAACAAGAAATACTAAAAGTCATGAACTTGCCAGGATTTCAATTTGCCAAAATTTGCAAGAATCCAATTTTCAAGAATTCTTCAAGACTTAAGAGAATCTTTAGAAAAATTCATAAAAGATTTATGACAATATATAATGATCTAATATATTATGACTATTTCTGACTATGTTTAACGCTTTTAAGAACTCTGTTTTTTTATTGATGTTTGATTGATTGAATTTTGAAGGACCAATTTGTTGTGAAACACTTTAATTATAACTTTATGTATTATTTTTATATTAATTACAAATTATAATTGTATTTATAAGGATTTATAGGTATCTTAAAAAGTTCTACAGTAATTTATGAAGGAAACTATGGACGACCATTATTAATATTGAAAAAAAAATCATTTGACATTGTCCATCAATGAACTTTCATTAATCAAATATGCAAATAAAATGCAAAATTCGATACAAGTGCAAAATATGCAAAATTTTTATGCAGATGTTATTGATATTGATATCATTGTTCAATTTATGATGACTTGAAATATGAGGCAGACGTTGGAAACATTTTGGATTTTATAAAAACATATTCAAGAACAGTTTATTTTTAAGTCATAAAATAGTCAGAAATCTGATAAAGCAGCCAGGAAACTGATAAAAATGACAAGACTGGCAAAAATCTGATGAACATGGCAAACAAATTTAATAGAATTTAATCAAAATTAATTTTAATCAAAAGTCTACAAGAAACTGCCAAGAGATTTTCTAATACCTGGAAAAATTTCTAAAACCTGTCCGTCAAGTTTCAAGAACCTGCCAAAATTTTCTAATCCATTAAATCGGTATAAATTTTCAAGAATCAACATTTTTTAATATCTGATTAAATTTTCTAAAATCTGGCAAGATTTTCAAGAACTTGCTAGGATTATCAAAAATCTGTCAAGAATTCACTTGAATTTTCAAAAATTTGTCATAATTTTCAAGAATCTGCCAACATTCCTTAATATCTAGTTAAGTTTTCTGAATTTTGTCAAGATTTTCAAGAACTTGCTAGAATTATCAAAAATCTGCCAAGACTCCATAATATCTGGTTAAATTTTCTGAAATCTGTCAAGATTTTCAAGAACTTGCTAGGATTATCAAAAATCTGTCAAGAATTTACTTGGATTTTCAAGAATTTGTCCTGATTTTCAAAAACCTAACATAACTTTCAAGAATTTGCCAAAAATTTCTAATATGCATCTAGTGAAATTTTTAAGATTTTGCCAATATTTTCAAGAACGCCTTAAAACTTTCAAGAACCTGCCAATATATTGTCTAATACCTGTAATGTTTTTCAAAATCTAACAAAATTTAAACAGTTTTCTGTAACTA